GGTATCGTTACAAGAAGTTCGTCAAGCCCTTGGGGGCGCACCCTTGTCTATCATCTGTGACCGTAAGTAGCTAGTACCGTGTCCCGAACTCAGACATGCTGACTGTCATGCATGATATTGTACAACTTCGTTTCGACCCATGATGCATAAAGCAATGTATACACGATGCAACACGAACTCAATCCTGTCCCTGCCCACACTGCTGCCCAAGCCCCTGCTTCGGCTTATCCGTCCCGACCGGGAAGCAGCTCCCGGTCCCCTGCGTGAACGTCTCCACGCAGATCGGCGTGCCGAACGGCGTCTGCACGACGAATGACGCGCGCGCACTCCCCGCCTTCTTGCGCAGGGCGATGCTTATCGCGCACATGTTCTTTATGTCGGTGTCGTCGTAGAAGCCGTCGTCCCAGACCGTCTTCAGAGGCTGTGTGCATTGGACAGATCAGCGCCGTGCAAGGAATCGCGGGGAAGACGACTTACAGGGAACTGCAGGATGTGCGTCTTCGCGTTCTGCGTGGTTGGCGTCTGGTTCTTGTGCGTCGCGAGCCACGCAGACTTGGTGTGGCGGCCCGCGTCCGGGTTGCTCGCCTCGCCCTTCAAGACATGGCCGGAAATGTGGTTAAACTCGGATGCCACGGCCGCCGGGATCACCCCTGCAGCGCTCTTGCCATTCACCGCCTGGAAAAGCTATGACGCAAAACAAACCCCATCACCTCTCAACTTCCCTCAAGATGACTGGAGTGACTCACCCCCTGCATTTGATTCATCAGCGCACACCCCTGCTTATTCTCAGCAGTTATCTGCCCCGTGTGCTTCTTCGATTCGCACTTGAACGTCGTCTTGCTGAACCCGCACGCCGAGTTGGCGGTGCATCCAGCGCATCCCTGGAGCGCCGCGCACTTTTTTGCGGGCGTGCTGGATGTTTTCTTGGCGGATTTGGTCGAGCTATCCGCGGTGGTCTTGCCCACTGGCTTTGCGCCGGCACCCTTGGGGGCAGATGCGGCTGCGGCTGCGCTCGCGGGTTTCTTCGCTACCTTGGCCTTGGTCGTACGAGCATCGAACTGGTGGCTGGCCGCCTCCAGTTCGAACGCACCATCCGTTGTCTGAAGTCCCACTATATATAAGAGTAGTCAGCTCATGCTCTATCCTCGCACGAATGGTTGGCTTACCTTCTGATACCGGCGCGCCCTGCACGAAGACACATGCAGCAATAACTAAAGTGGTGAACAAGGCGAAGGGACGCATGATGGCGGGGTTCGTTATAAAAGAAGTACAAGAAAATCCGAATTAAAGAGAAAGGAAAGAAGGTCAGGAAGAGAAAGGACGTGAATACAATAATGACCAGGACCGACCGGCGATAGGGGCTCTCCCTCATTCCTGCTGCCCTTTATACTAAGGACAGAAGCGATCATACCGCATCTCCCATCGCCGGTTGCGAGGAACACAATCACTGCAGGTATGGAGGCAGTGGCCGGAACTTTCGGGCGAGATCATTACGCCGAGCTAGGGCCCCCCCAAGTCGATCCGCGCGAAACTTTCGAAGTGGCTACAAGGGATCCCCTGCACAAGCCTACATCAACTCGTCACTTCGCTGGTGCTGGTGCTTATTATTGCTGAGCATTTGCTGTCTATTTCCCCCGATGCAGTGGCGGCTCCTCTCATTTAGTGAAGACCGTTCAACGAGGCTCTTGTCGCGTCATGACTCATGATTGTGCCCCTCACAGTCATCGAACAGAGTTGGAATCCTGTTGCCCTTGAACGTGTAACATCTGATCCTGACCCGCATTTATCCAGTGCAGTTCGTTTATCTGCGGTGGAAGGTAACACTATGAACAAAATTTGATCTTTGTCTCCGTTCGTCTATACTTTTGCGGTGGCTCAATATCCCAATAGGTATTGCGCCCAGTGCGCCACCATCTGCCACCGGCGTTCTTGGATGCGACGCACATCACTCAATCACTTCTTGCCTTCTACTTATACTAATGGTTTAGCCCTGATCAGCGCAGATGTTGAATCGATATCAGTTTGACTGGGTAACATCGATCTTTCAGAGGGAGTGGTAACGTCCAGAACTGACACAAACCGGAGCAGAAGCATCTCGAGCATGCGTGCATTTCTTTATCAGCCCCCCTTTGAGATGTGAAGCGTAGCAACTTAAACTCCTGCCCCGCACACGTACGGCAAGGTTGTAAGCGAAAGGATTGGCCTTGTTGCTTTGCCACCTGTAGGGTATGGCCAACTTCCGTGGCCTTACACTGCGACACAAGGTAGACGAAGATGTCCTGGACCCCAAAGCTCCATGGGAGCCCTTGAAATCTATCCATTCCGCATCCCGTCCCTACATTATCACCTTCGACTCTTTTGGCGCTGCATCTAACGTCTGGTCGATAGACTCAGGCAGTCCGACGTACGTGACAAAGCTCGAACCAGCCCTCCCGGGAGAGATCTTGCCCCATAGGTCCACGGTCACGTATGCACCCGCCCACTCCATACTGGCAGTCGGGTACGACTGTCCCCCGTCTCTCAGGGATGACCGGAAAGACAGCCCCGCTGTTTTGCGGGCGTATTCAACAGATTCAGGACAGCTATTGGAAGTGACTGAGCTCTCCGGGCGGCTTGCCTTGGGCACATCCTCGATACGCTGCTCCTCGGACTATATGGCTGTAGCCATGGGAGAGCCGGCGCCCCAGATCATCGTCTTCAGGGTCGGATCCTCAGGTTTCCAAGAAGTCCTACGCGTGCCTTCCCTGACCCAGAAGGATATTTTCATCCCAGTGCAGCTCTTCGATCGGGGGGAGGACTTCACACTATTGACCTCGTCGACCTCCGTACCTTCGAGTAGCCTCACCCTCGCATTGTACTCCCGCTCGGGTGACAGCGCCCGGACGGACCTCACCGTCCCCGAGGATCGTGCCGACTGGCTCGAGCCCGGCGCAACGACGATGCTTCCGGACGGCACCACCGTGCTCCACGTCAAGGGCACGCAGTCGTCCTGCGACCACCATCCTGATTCCACGCGCAGCACTGTTTACGCCCTCGCTCCTGGTCTCGCGATATCCTGGATACGGCGTTTCGACTCCGTGGTCAAGAAAGTCACTTACCACCCTGCGCTGCAGGCGATCGTAGTCCTCAGCTCGCGGGGAAAGTTCAGCGATTCCGTAGACACATTCATCATTTCCTTTCTGAACCCTGTCAGCGGAGAGGTGATAAGGGAGGCATCATTCCGCTACCAGCCCGAGACCTACCTCACAGCGCAGTGCACTCTCACCGACGAGCTGGTCATTGTCACCAAGGCCGGAGGCCTTAGTGTTCTCCCCCTGCAAACTATCTCGGACGAAGGCTTCAAAGATAAAAGTGCAGAAGAGATGCTAATCACGCGGGCATCGCCTGTGCAGCCAGAGCCGTACAACACGAAGGCTCGCAAGGCCGGTGATAGGTGGGGATGGGTTGATCACTGTATTGTATACTCCAAAGGAGTGGTATTAATCCCCCTAAGAGGACCGGGGATATTTGTGGTGCAATGGTGATGCACGTGGTTGTCGAAAGAGCGTGGATTCCAGCTAATTACAAGATTAGTACCTGTCGAATGAGAAGATCAATATTCCCAGAACAAACAAGGATCCTCAGTGAAAGAGAGTATGATGTCGAGAGCATGGACGCAGATTCTCCTGATCACCAGATATATCCCTCTAACTTACCCGTAAGTGTTGTGATGCGAAGGTCAGGGCACAACCTCTGGGGTTCAGCACCATCCGCGATGCTGAGACAACCTTTTGCATTCGCACCGACTCCAGCTGACGTCGCGCCCTGCGTTATACTACTCAGCGACATATCATGAACTCGAGGACGGTAATGCTCCCTATCTCCATCATCCGACGACAGCGGCAGTAAGGTTATCCAGCGATGCTCAAATGATGCTGCAGCCCACTATGAGTTGTTACACTCTGGGCAGCGTTCCAACGCTCTTCTCCACGTGCCGCGAACGGGTACAGGTACAACTCGCAGGACACGAGGCTCGCGCCGAATTCTCCAAGCTTCGTGAAATGGTGGCGGAGCCGGCCAGGAGACGTGAAAAGGTTCATGGCAAGGTCTGTCAGGCCGGGCGCCGCGGACCCACGAGACAGATCCAACTGTGCATCTTGACAGTTGAGATTGTAAGTTTGTACGACAAACGAGCTTGAGCACCCAGGGTTCGTAGAGACAGCAGTGCTTCCAGTGCCCCCAGGAAAACCCGACAGTCGAGTTAGGCTATCATCACGTATAAGCCCTTCGAGGCCGCGCCACGTACACCGAGGTTCTTCCAAGCTATGAGGGTGATGTAAAGGCTGTAGGCCCAAGCACCACATCTCGTGGGCTGCAGCAACGGAGACGCGCACTCCTGAAGTGTCTAGAGACCTATGCCTACAACATGCCTCACATCTCTCATGAACGACGCTGTGCTCGGGTGACTCTGTGAGCGCTAGAGTAACAGTCCTGAAAGAGAGAATATGCATACCATCGGCGCACGGGGCATCGCTAAGATATCAGCAAGAACGACCACGTCAACGCTATGCAGTGAGCGTACCACCGGAGAACAACCCAGAGGCATACACACGGACACCACCGCTCACCTCCGCAAACGCATCTCCGAATTGCAAAGTTATATCAGCAGGTCCCTCAACCTCGTCTACACCAAGGATATTACAAAGGTATCATACCAATGTCCCAGTCCAATACATACGTTATATCGTGATACAATCGTGCAGTGTCCTGTAAGATCTTTTCAGTCTTTAAGAATAATAGCTAGTTACGTCAGGATGTCCCACCCGCAGTACCCGCTACCTCAAACCTTCCGGCCACTCCCTTCTTGGCCTCCATCTGCCTTGCTCGTCAAACCTAGGATTCGTGCGGAACTCAACGCCGTTTGTCGGAGCCTTTCCAATAGGTACTGGGTGTCAAATCCATCACTCAGCGCGCAGTCTACTTCAGATCGGACTCGAGGACTTACAGAACCATTCATATACGCTGCTCCCCATCACGCTTTCCCAATTGGCGCGGTAGCTGCCTAGCCACCACAGATTGCCTTCCCTGCCGAGCTCTCCCCATTCTTCGTCCCACTCCTTGCGTACGCGCCGTTTCTCCCTGACATATGACTCAAGCGGATGCAATGAACAGAAACACGCCACGTACGAGATCTGATACCAGGCAAACGCATTTCCCAGTATGGCTCGTTCGCGCTCCTTCATCCGCTGCACGCCAAGGTGCTCCACGGTCGTCTGGTTGAACATAATCATGCGCGTGTGGGACCCGATCATGGCGAGCGTGAACATCATAAAAAGGCCAGCCCTGAGAGAGACGTTAGGACCCCAAACTTGCAAAAGAGAAACTGGTAGAGACACTCACAATGCGATGACGGCGATTTGCTGCCCGTCCGGCGAATCATACGGGTTCAAGCTGTTCCCGGCCTTCACATTCTGCGCTAGAAGAGTGGCGAAGATCCATATACAGAGAACGGCCGCCCATTCGCAGAATATATAGAAGAACTAAGACGAAAGAACAAACAGTCAGTGTTCGGCAGAAGGAGTGCTAGGGTAGAACACTCACCCTGTGGTTCAGAGCTCCTACACACTGACCGATCCCTTGAGCGGGCAATCAGCGATTTCGCAAAGATGCTCGGGGAACGATTAAACCTACAAGGACAATGATGGTCAAAGCGTAGTATACACTATCATGCATGTCATCTAGCATCGTTGGGTCGGGAGATAGTAACAGCTACTCACTGTCCCACATGAGCGACAATGATGTGCCCGTAACGGCTTGACGAACTTCTCCTTGTAGCAATACCGATACTCAGGGAGGAGGACCGGCGTGGTAGGAGGCCTCCTCTTCGGCGCAGACGTACCAGCCCGACTAGACTCAGACTTAACTCTGGGCGGGTTGCTCGGCCGTGAGGGGCCATCAACCTCGGGAACAGAACGCGGGTGTGCAGGTGCAGCGGCGTCGAGGGTGGGATCAATAGCGGCTTTGGCAGCCGCTACGGGTGGGATAGCGTCGAGGTCACCGGTGTTGGGGTTGTCCTCTATTTGTGCATTCTCCACCGGATGTGTAGAGCCATTAGCCCTCATGACACCGCCATTTCGTTTCTCAACATCATGACTCGCTGCAGCGGGGGGTTGCGGCGTGTTTTGTGGTGGTTCGTCCGCAGAGTATGAGGCGCCTTCGTATTGAAATCCACCCATTCCCTCTTCCCACGAATCGTCAAATCGTGCGGTGGTTGAGGGTTGCGGCTCGGGTGAAGGGGAGACGTGCTAATAAGACTGTTAGATGTGCGTAGCGGTGCATATGTCGTTAGACGTACATCTTTAGCAAAGCCGGGCGGCGTGAGGATGACCTATGGAATGAAACCTCGACCAAAGTTGTATATGTATAATATAGAGGGCGCACCTTCAAGTAGGACCAGTAAGTCATCATGGCAAAGATGCAGAATACGACCAGGAATCCGACTGCGGGGGGTGAGTGTATTACCCCTACCTACGAAGTTGAGTAACTCACTTCCCATCGAACGGCTGCCCAATGCCCCTCGGGCTCTTGTGATCATCGGGACGCAGAAGCGTCCAATGTACACGTACGTCGCGTACGCCAGGATTCCAACCGCGATACCGACGGCGAGCTTGCGGACAATCCACGGCTGCTTAGTCTTCTGTTCCCGTTTCTCCCTGGCACGATAAGTGGCTTCCTGAACGACGCCGCAGCATGTGTGCTGGTCGAATTGTGGGGCAGCATCGCCAACCATGGACTTTAAAGAACACTCAGCCGTGCCAGAGTCGCGTTAGTTCGCAGTCGCAGTACCAGTCGAAGTACGAGCCGCCTGCGGAGAGCCTACTACCTATGACGGAATTCGAAGTGATCGCGAGCCGCCGGCAGCGTGGCGTGAACCACTCCGAGTGTGGACTTGTCTCGACGCTGAGCCGTATTTCACTCCAGAAATTTGTACTTTCGTCGCATACGGTCTTCTCTGAAGCGCTCAAAAAGAGGTGCTAGCAGGTGTGGCGACAGGATTTACGCTGGTCCCAGAGGATGATGTGGCGAGAGGAGGCCCGGGGATTAAGAAGAATTGAGCGCAATGCATCAGTGTGCGTTCTTTATATACTGACACATCCCAGAAGGCAGAAGATGTAAAGGAACGCCAAAGTCCTGATGACAGTGAACTGCTCTCGAAGGTTGCGAATTGAGCTTTGCCATAGCAGCTCAACATGAACTCTGAGCTGCTGTGACAAAGCTGTCGCGCCTTAACTCCATTTTCACATCCAACACCTTAGCCCAATAATGACCAGCAGTTTTAGTATGCAGACCTCAGCTGCGACAATTCTTGACTTGCAATCCGGAGGTCCCTTTGACGGAGGTCGGTGGTGGTATTCCGAATTATGCGTATGTCTGAATAGTTCTCCGGTGGCACGCTCACTGCATAGCGAGCGGCGTGGTGGTCTTTTTTTTAACCGGTGATACCTGTTTGATGGCCCATGCACCCATATTCTTTCTTTCAAGGCTGTTACACCAATGCTCACCGAGCCACCCGACAAGAGCAGCATTGTTCATGAGACAGCTGAGGCATGTTGAGTCAAACGCTCCCGTTGCTAGGGCCACGGGATGTGGTGCTTGGGCCTACATGCTTCATTTATGGATCAACGGTGTGTGGCACATATACTGTGGCACATTTGCGAACGTGTATAAAAGAAGCACTGTAGCTGGTCGTGCTACACGTTGATTTCTGACTTGCCCTGCTGGTGAGTGCTGAGCTATGTCTGCTGTTCTGCATCGTCGTTAACAGGCTCCTCCCCTCCAGTATCCAATGTCTTACTGCTGGGATTTGGATTTTAGTCTCGATAATAAATACGTTCGGGGTGAGTCACCGCTAGATATCTCCCCCGGAGATAACCTCTGCCTGGACGAAAATGGGAAACTCCGCCAAATCCCGACCGATTATTCGAGGCCTAGGGACATACTGCCACCCAGGTCCATTCGAACGACAGATTCTTCTCTCAGACTACCACCAGAGATGCTGGTACTGATCTTCACTTACGCACTGCCCTATGCACGATTCGTCAAGCCAGCCAGACGCGCTGCGCCTCTGAATATCTCCCAAGTCTGTCGCCGCTGGAGGGAGGTTGCTCTGACTGTCCCTGTGCTCTGGGCCTCGCTCTCGGTTTATGCCACAAGAGACGACTTGGACTACGCTGGTTTGATGCGAATGTGGCTGGCGCGATCACAGAGGTACCGCCTATACGTCAACTTCATCGCTTGGAAGAACCTCGATCTGTGCAGTTCGCGTGCCTGCCTGGAAGAGCTTATGCGTCCTGAAATCCTCACTCGGCTTTCGGATCTCCGTGTCTCGGGCGTAATGGAAGCCCTGCTGCCTCTGGAAAACTTGGGTGCCCAAGCTAGCAGTCTTCGGAGGCTGGTCGTACAGACGTACGATCTTTGCCTGGAAGATGCATATCTAGATTTATCCCGTGCATCCGCAGCGCCCCTGTTGGCTGAATTTCCCGTGAACATCCTTGAAACACCCTCGCTCTTCTTCCCTCTGAAGGGCATCCTGGCCGGCCCCACGACTCATCTGGTATTCTCCGGCGACTTCTACTATGACCATTTCACGGTGCTAGGAGAGTTCGGCGCGCATCTCGTGTCCTGCGAGCTGTACTTACACCCGTTTTCGGCATGTGGAGCCCTGACGTTGCCCAGGGTGCAAACGCTCACAGTGGGTTGTAGGATCGTCTGGGCGTTTCTGGATAACCTTACTGCGCCGTGTCTTCGGACACTGCAGATAGGCATGTCGAGGGAGAATCGCCTTCCTGAAGTCGACGATATGTCGCTGAGTAATATGATACGCAGGTCGCGGTGCCCCTTGGAATCGCTACTAATGGAGGAGGGCAGCCTGAGCGATGCGGATATCGCTGAGGCCCAAAGGTTGTGCCCTGATCTTCACATCACGCTCGCGGGGAGACTATGGGATTATACATGGTGACCACGGAAATCAGCGTCCACGCTCTCGACGTCATACCTTCTTTCAGCCGGAATCCGTATATGGTCTGGGAACAACGCTCACGATGCCATATGTACTAGTTATCTTGTATTTACCTAGAACACACTTCCAAGAACTATCATACATTACCATCGCGTCACATACATGTCTGGTCCCCTCAACGGGAATAATACCACTCCCTTGGAGTATACAATACAGTGATCAACCCATCCCCACCTATCACCGGCCTTGCGAGCCTTCGTGTTGTACGGCTCTGGCTGCACAGGCGATGCCCGCGTGATTAGCATCTCTTCTGCACTTTTATCTTTGAAGCCTTCGTCCGAGATAGTTTGCAGGGGGAGAACACTAAGGCCTCCGGCCTTGGTGACAATGACCAGCTCGTCGGTGAGAGTGCACTGCGCTGTGAGGTAGGTCTCGGGCTGGTAGCGGAATGATGCCTCCCTTATCACCTCTCCGCTGACAGGGCTCAGAAAAGAAATGATGAGTGTGTGTACGGAATCGCTAAACTTTCCCCGCGAGCTGAGGATTACGATCGCCTGCAGCGCAGGGTGGCAAGTGACTTTCTTGACCACGGAGTCGAAACGCCGTATCCAGGATATCGTGAGACCAGGAGCGAGGGCGTAAACAGTGCTGCGCGTGGAATCAGGATGGTGGTCGCAGGACGACTGCGTGCCCTTGACGTGGAGCACGGTAGTGCCGTCCGGAAGCATCGTCGTTGCGCCGGGCTCGAGCCAGTCGGCACGATCCTCGGGGACGGTGAGGTCCGTCCGGGCGCTCTCACCCGAGCGGGAGTACAATGCGAGGGTGAGGCTACTCGAAGGTACGGAGGTCGACGAGGTCAATAGTGTGAAGTCCTCCCCCCGATCGAAGAGCTGCACTGGGATGAAAATATCCTTCTGGGTCAGGGAAGGCACGCGTAGGACTTCGTGGAAACCTGAGGATTCGACTCTGAAGACGATGATCTGGGGCGCCGGCTCACCCATGGCTACAGCCATATAGTCCGAGGAGCAGCGTATCGAGGATGTGCCCAAGGCAAGCCGCCCGGGGAGCTCATCCTCCTTCAATAGCTGTCCTGAACCTATTGAATACGCCCGCATAACGGCTGGCTTGTCTTTCCTGTCATCTCTGAGAGACGGGGGAAAGTCATACCCGATTGCCAGTATGGAGTGGGTGGGGGCATACGTGACCGCCGACCTATGAGGCAAGATCTCTCCCGGGAGGGTTTGCTCGAGCTTTGTCACGTACGTCGGACTGCCTGAGTCTATCGACCAGACGTGAGATGCAGCGCCAAAAGTGTCGATGGTGATAATGTAGGGATGGGATGCGGAATGGATAGATTTCAAGGGCTCCCATGGAGCTTTGGGGTCCAGGACGTCTTCGTCTACCTTGTGTCGCAGTGTAAGGCCACGGAAGTCAATCATACCTAAACTAAAGAAGAGAGAGGTAGCGAGGCAACAAGGTTGACCTTTTTCGTTGAACCGCTGGCGTACGCAGGCGAGGTGGTAGTTGGCAGTAGTTCAGAAGAATGGTACGCGTTGTTACACTTGATTCCATTGAGAGTGGCAACAGTTCTCGAAGTTACCACTAATCCCTCCGAAAGATTGAGGTTACCAAGTCAAGGTGATAGCAATTGAGTCTGCACTGGTCAAGGCTAATCTATTGGTATAAGCAGAAGGTAAGAAATGATTGAGTGATTGTGCACCACAGCCGCTGGCAGATGGTGGCAACTGACAGGGCTCGGATCCGAGATCACGAATGTTACCAACTTTACGGGCCAATTGCAAGATGCGCAACCTCCGAAACCCGTACGATGTTCTACTGGTGGATGCACGCTATTACATTGCACGTGCCGCTCTAAGTTACTCTCGCCATTCGAGTAGCCAGCCCAGCATAGGGGTATAACACTTGAATTTCCGCGGCAACCAGCACAGCATCAGCCAACTGATGCGCTGATGTATAGGCTCGTGCAGGGGAACACGCTCCTACCCAGCGGTCGTTTCGAGGCTGCGCATCTGCTACGGCAATCGGTTAAGTGCGGACCATGTGGAAACCACGCGATAATTATTTTGTATAGTCATGTGATTATGTAAACTTTATTCTGGCTTGCCTCTCCACGACCGCTGGCGGAAAACATTTGTAAATAAACGCCACCGTTACCAGTGACACCCCGTTCAGGAAAGCGCCAGTGATCTTAGCTAATCCGATGCTCGACGCGTCGCGCCAACAACACCGACGCGTCTATCCTCGCCAACGGCCGTGTATGGACTAATGCCCGAGGAACCGTCAGTTCCATCTCTCACCGACATCCGAACTCGTGTCCGCGAGAAGTTCGGTCAGCGTCCATGCTTATGGCAGCTACAGGCTGTACAGGCTATCCTGCGGCGCGACAAAGATGTTGTGTGCATTGCTGGCACCGGGTCGGGGAAGACCCTTACATTCTGGATGCCGCTACTCTTCCGTCCAGACGGCATCCAGATAGTAGTGACACCTCTTAATATTTTGGGAGAGCAGAACACACGGGAGCTCCAGCAGAACAGGATCTCTGCCATTGCCCTTAATAAGAAGACGGCTACACTGCGGAATATGAGGGTGGGTACTTGCTCAAGTCTTGTGGACATTTGTCCTAAG